GGTTCTGTACAAAAAAAAAAAAGAGGGTCTGCGCCCCGGCGGCGGGGGGCATGTGTGAATGCGTGGTGGGGAAGAGGGGGGGCGGCCGCTCCTGCCGCCCACCCCCGCACGGGTGATCTAAAAAAAATCTATTCCTCCTCGCCTGCCTCCGGCGCCGCGGAGTTTGGCTCGTGGGTTGGCGTCGATGACACACACCCGCCCGCAACCCCGCGGGCCCGCGCCTGCTCCACCGCGAGTCGCCCAAGCGACTCCACGGGCCCTCAGCGGGAAACGGAACACGCACGCACGGGAGGGGGGCAGAATGTGGGCAGGGAGCACAACAACCAACAAACTCCTCCTCGCGAAGAAGAACTCCCCTCCTCAAAATAAAAACAAAAAAAATGGGTACATTGAACAGTGATAATACAAACAACAACAACAACAGCAGCAGCAGCAGAGACACATGCATCGGTGCACGCTCACACGTCATACGCTGAAATGCTCCCCTGCGTTACATCTACACACAGAAAGGAAACTATATCCAGTCCTTTCCGCTCTTGGCGCCTCGCACACACTTGCCAATGGGAAAGCGTGGAACCCCATTCGCCGAGAGCTCCTGATACTGCACGGTAAGCATCTTCCCCTTGTACTGTGCGAGACTACGCCACATGTCCTTCTTTGTATCCTCTGTCGTGGCGGGGGCAACGGTGAAGTGGTGGCCGCGTTTCGTACTGCAAACAAAGGCACCGAGGCAGCCCTTCCACTTGCCGCGTCCCTCCACCCCGGAGACGATGACGTATTCCGCATCCTGCATGACCTTGTACTTCAGCAAATGTGGGGATCGGGCGCCGTGGGCGTAGCCGACCAGCGCACCGCTGCTAGTGCCCTTACGCGGAACTCCAGCAGGTCTGGAGTCGCTACGACTGCCTTTTCCTCGCGCACCAACTCCACCGTCGCGGCGCACTATGATGCCCTCGTAACCGTCTTCTATTGATAGACGAAGGACACGGGCTATTTTAGGCTTTGTGATCTGAATAGCAGGCACAAGCACCACGGCCTGCCCCCGCGCCTTTCCCTTCGGCGCGCCCAGGCCGTTGATCAGGCTACTGAGGTGCTTGTACCGCTCTGAAAAGGGCACGACAGACATGTCCGGCAGCGCACTGGCATACATGAGGTCAAAGGCGTGGTACTGCAGCTTCTCCTGGAGGCTTGCAATGGCCGGCGTGCGGCGATCCCGCGTTGTGCGGATGGCCGAGACGAGTTGCTCGAAGTCGTCCACATCGTGGTTGTACAGCTCCCCGTCAAGCACAAGGTTTGGGTCTCTCTCGAAGAGGGGGCGCAGCGTTGGCTCAATGCGGTCATCACAGCACTCAAAGAGGGTGCCGGAGCGGCTGAAAAAACACGGCCGCCGCTCCCGTGCATTCCACGCGACGACGCACCGCACCCCGTCAAGCTTTGGGGAGGCAAAAAGAACCTCATCGTCGCGTATCCGGTCGGCCTCCTTCTCAAAGTTCCGCGCGAGCATCGGCTGCAGATTGCGCGTCTCCACCACACGGAGGTAGCCATCATCTGCAATGCTGCTCTTCACGCGGTTGGGGTTGGGGGCGGCTAACACGGAGAGGCTGTTATCAGGGCGGCAGCGGTGTTTCACAAGCGGCAGCGTGGGTGCGGCAGCTGCGACGTTGCCATTGCGCGGCAGGGCTGGCACGCGGTGACATTCCGGGCACACCCCGCCCGCCGCCACGTGAAGGTCAATTCTTTTGTGGTGCTCATGGTCGCAGTGCGGGCAGTGCCACCAGACAAGCTTGCGGCTCGTCGGAAGGACATGCTGCGGCTGCAGCAGCTTGTTCGCCGCCGCGGTCATCCACGTGCGTGCAATGGCCGGGTGAAATGTGGCCAAGCTACTGGGCAGAGGCGTGACTGGCGGCGGCTTGCGTGCGGCGCGCGCCAGCAGGCACACCGACGCGGCAAGAATGGAGGAGAGACACGAGTGACTCGTCCGCATTGCTCTTCTCTGCGGGGCCGCTGCTTCTCCCTCTGTGTGCGTGAGTTGTGTTGCGTGAGTGGGGGGATGTGGTGGGTCTTAAAAGACCAAAGCGAATGGCTCGCTCAACTTTTACCCGGGTGTTTGCCCATGTTGCGCGCAAAAGCAAATATCGTCCCCCCGCACCCCCACCCCCCGGCGGCGGCGGCGGTGACGGAGGAGGAGAAGGAAGAGAGGCAAAGAAAAAAAAAAGAAAGAAACGCACATGGCGATGCCGCAACCCGCCCCTCCCCCAGCAAGCAGAAGCAGGGCACATAAGGACACACCCGAAAGGAAAGAAAGAACGAACGAAATAAAGAGGAAGAGCGTGTGAATGGGTAACGGTGCCGGTGAGCAGGTGATGCACGCGGGCAGTGGTGGGAAGCGCGGCTTGCGGTGGGTTGCCTCCGCCTCCGCCTCAGCCGCCGCCATCACCGGCCGCAATGGCAGTGAGCCGCTCGTGCATCGCATACACCGCTGCCTCATCCACAAGGGCAAGCCTGTCAACGAACGGCACACACACGTTCGGAGAACCCGCAGAGAGCGTCGACGACAGCAACTCGCCAGCGAGTCTACAAAGAAAGCTACCCCGCTGCCTCTCCGCAACAAACCGCGCACTGTCCTTTTTCACCGCACCACCACCGCTGCCGCCGTGGGCGTTGCCACAGCCGTCACGAAGGAGCGCTGGAAGCTGCAGCAACCACGCCCGGGTCGCCGTGCGCGAGGCAAGAAGCATCTGCGTCTCCTGCAGCGCGTCGCCCATGCCAGTGCACTTCCTGTGGCCAGCGCCGCCAACGCTGGAGCGGGAGGAGGCGGGTGTGGAGGAGATGACTGGGGCATCATCCGCGCCCTCAGGCCGTGATTTCTGCAGCAGCCATATTGCGAGCAGCGCCACTTCCTCGTCAAGAGCGTCGTCGACCGCCGCGCGCCCCGCCCCGGTCGCCAGGGGGCGTAGAAGCAGCGTGCACAGCCCGTGATGCAGCGCATGAAGCGACTCTGCGTGCGTGAGGTAGAGTCTCCGCCGTGGCGGTGGCTGCGCCGCGACGTGGAAGGCGGCGGCGGGGGGCGTGAAGAAGCGCAGGAGTGCCGCCGCCTCACGCAGCCACCCCGCCACCTGCTCAACGTCGCGCGGGGTCTCGTGTGCGGCGCAGCAGTGCGACAGAAGTTCCACCAACTGCGACGGGGCCGCGGCGCTGAGGAAGACACCAGACGCATCCGCCGCGGCGCACAGAGAGGCTGACGCTTCATGGCCCTCGCCGCCCTGCCGCCCCGCCGCCGCCTCCTTCGCAGCACGCGCGTCGCAACAAATACCCGCAGGCGCCGGGGACAAGAGCTGCCGCAAACGGGCCAGCCGCACCACGTCCACGAGGCACTCGGCTATGAATAGGCGCAAGGACTTGGGCAATGGCGGCGTCCAGAGGCGCGTTGGGTTCTGTGCGGCCCGCGTTGTGGAAGCAGAAGTGCAGGAATAGAAGAACTCGAGCCAGTGACGCGCCGTCGGCGCCCGAGCGGCGTTCCACGACTTCGCCTGTAGTTGGGAGAGAGCCCTTTGCCAAGCCACGCCGCCTGCAAGCGCCGTCATCGCGGTGGTCCACGCACCAGGCGACACGGCCTCGGGCCTGCGCTGCTCCTCCTGGGTCCCCCCTCCCTCTCCTCCTCCCTTTCGTTTCGTGCTACTTCATTCAAGCAAAAAGGAACAGCAACAACAAAAGAACAGCGTCCAATAAGCGGCATCACCGCGCCTTGTCTTCGCTTTCATCAGAGGCAGGGTCCCACCCTAAACATACGTTACCACTCCCCCCCTCCTTTTACACCTCTTGCTATGAAACAAAACAAACAACCAGCACACACATGTTGGCCGTCCCACAGTGTGCGTGGTCAGTCTAGGCGTCACACACGCAGACACTCTGAGCTACAGCTCGATACAACGAGCGAACACACGCATTACTTTACACGCGCATGTAAAGCCACCTCTCTGCCCATGTGTGTATAGACCCACATACGTGCGTGTCTTCTTCTTCTCGTCCCCGGTGCGCTCGCCCGCTCCCCTGCCTGTTCCCTCTCTGACACACAGACGCATTAAACCTGGTATTTGGACTTGGGCCTTCCGCGGTGCCCCTTCTGCTTCCCCCCAGCCCCGCGCACCGCGCTCACGAGTCGCCCGCTGAGGTCCGCCTCCACCGCGTCGCCCTTCTTCGTCTTGCTGCTCTTAAGCTCCGGCAGCAGCCCAACCCGGATCATCTTTGCAAAGGGCAGGTTCGCCACGGCCGCTAACTTGTACCGCCGAAAGCGGAATCGTTTGATGATTCGGTGCTTCTTCATCTTGAATCGCCGCGCCAGCCAGCGCGAGGAGGGGTACGGGTAGTTGCGTGGGCCAAACGTCACACGGCCGTAGAACTTCGCCGCCCAACGCGCGCTGAGTTCCTCAAGCTGCTCGCCGTAGCCGGCGGCCGCCTCTTCGGCAGCCTTCGTGGCGTTGCTAAGATGAAACTGCGGCGGCCTCTGCGAGACATCGGCGCTGGCGACGATGCGGCGGCGGAAGGACCCGGCGGTGTGTTTCTCGTTGAACGAGGACCAGGCGGGCTTACGGTCAATAAAACTCCCCCGCATCGGCGGGGGCGGCGGCGGCGGCGGAATAACCTGCGGAGTCGCGGCACTCGCTAGCGGCAGCAGCGACAGGGCGGGTAGCCGTGGCCCGTAGTGCGCCGCGGACAGCAGCGCCGGCAATGGAGGGTTTCGCGTCGGCGGCGGCATCGAGCAGGTGGCGGGGGCGACCCTCGCCGGCGCCGTACACCGCGCGCAGAGAACACCACAGCCCCGCATGCCTCTTCCAGTAGGAAACGCAGGGGCGCGGGGTATAGTAATAGTATAGTATAGTATAGTATATAAATATATGTTTGTTTTTATTTATAAATATATACGTATTCTACCAGCGACGAGAGGACAAAACGGAGGCGAGGGAAAAGTAGCATCATTGCAAGCGACCACCATCTTCAAGGAATCACGCAGAGGCGTAAAGCAAGGCGGGGGAGGTTTTTTTTTTGCCACACCTGCAGCATACACTCTCCCGTCTCCGTACGCTAACTTTTTTTTTTTTTTTTCTTGTTTGTGTTTTAGTTTTAGTTTTCTTCATCATCTTCACATTTTCCCCGTCATCCACCCCGGCCTCTTCCTGCTGCTCCTCGCCAATGGCCGTCACGTGGCGGCCAATAGCGGGCTGCGTCTCCGGCGCGTGGTGGTGGTTGCCTGGGAGGGCGCGGGAGGGAGCGGCGCCAGTCCAATTTATAATACATATAAACCTGCGCCCACTGCCTCCCGCGGATGCGCGCGCGCAGGCATGTGGATAGACGGACTCACGCACTCGGCCGCTTCCCGCCGTGGTGCCGTTCACGGAGGCCGCAAAACAGCCCCGCAGGCCGCCACCACCGCGCTTCAGTCACGCGTTTCAACCACAACAAAACCACGCGGAAAGAGAGGGGGAAAAGTAGCGGCGGCACCCGTTGTGGCCCCCAACGCCCGTCTATGGGCGTGTGTGTGTGGGTG